GGCACTGCTTTCTTGATGGTATGAGGTCCCCAATTCTCTGCTTGCTTCCCTTTCCTTTTATCTCTTACAAGAGATAAAAGATGGTGCAGGCCACACCCCAGGGAAACTCCCTTTACATTGGATCAGGGATGTGACCTGAGTAAGGGTGGTGTTACAATTCCACTCGAATCCTCTTTAACATAAAATTACAATCACAAAATGGAGGCCAACCAGACAATTCTGGGAATCATGGCCCAGCCAAATTGTTACACACTTTTTTAGGGGGACATAATTCAATCCATGACAACACTCATCAATGATACTCGAATGACAAATAAGGATCAACAGAGCCTATTAACAGAATATAACACCTAATATGTAAATTGTAGAATAATCTTCTATTCTTCCTTTCTTCTTGTATTAATCACATTTTTCTACTTTAAAAAAATAAAATAGCCCAAGAGATTATAATTTCCTCCCTCTCATTTTATGACAAACTCTCTTAAACTATTAAGTCCTTGTTCTCTGTTTAAATGCTTGTCATTTTTATAACAAAGAGCTTACTATTATTATCCTTATTTGTTACACATAGTCAAAGTACTGTATTTTTGAAAAACACCTCACGATTTAGTTTTTTTTATACATAGTACAGGTAATATTCTTTAAAATGGGCCATATTTTATGTCTAAGTCCAAGGTAGTAAATAGGCTGAGAACTATCTAAGTTATATTAGTCTAAACCATCAACTAGGGAAACTCTGGGCCTGTGAATTCTTGTCCTCTTACGTTTGACGATGACCTGTTTAGAGATGTGTGAAAGGTTTTTCTTGTTCGCTTGTTTTTGTTTTTGCTTTTTTAGAAGTGTTCATGTGTCGCACATAAAACCCTTCAAGACAGTATGGTGACTTTCTCAAATCCCGTAAAATACACCACCATCATAACAATGAGTACAGCACCTCATCTCTGTGTGTGGATGGTTATGAACCGAACCTAGGAAGGTGGCTTATTCAGAGTAATTGCTGACATTCATAAAGAGAGAAACCCATAGTCTGAGATATACCACGTTTACAAGGCTCTGTTGGCTTCCTTTCAGTGTCTGAATCTCCCTTTTTTGTGTGTG